CATTAATTCCAAAACTGCCGAAGGCCGTCTGGTGCCATGGGGCGTTGTTCTGTCATAGTATGACTTGTGAATTCGGAAGGTCAGTCGGGATGAGGATGGCTTAGCCGCCATTATGGGTGCAGGTATCACTCTCAGGGAGCACTTGGATGAAGTCGCCGAAGTACTCATTCCAGCCAAGGGGCGCGCGCGTCAAACTGCCTCCAGTCGTGAGTGTCGAAATGCTCTCAGAAGGGTACTCCGGAGTAGTCCTGAGTTTCGATGGTGCGGCTAAAACTTCCACGAGGAAGGGCAGCTGTGGATTTGTTCTGTGGCAGGTACCTGAATGGAAAGTTTTGGATGCTCGGGGATACATCCTGGATGGAGTCACCGTCAACGACGCGGAACACTTCGGGTTGCTTAAAGGACTCGCAATGGCTTTGGAAAGAGGGATTCAGGACATAGTCGTTGTGGGTGACTCGAGAATTGTGATTCAACAAGTCCAAGGCTTGATTAATTGTAATCAACCTAACCTCCAAAGGAGGCTAGCTGAATGCGAAACTCTGAATAAGCGTTTTCAGACAATCCGCTTGGTACACATGAAGCGCGAGTTCAACCAGGCCACTGATTACCTAACCTCGAAGACCCTTGTCCAGGGTGAATCTAGGATTGTTCAGGATGACCTCGAGAGACGACACCTGGAAATAGTGTCTAAGATTCGGGAGCAGTTGGTGTAGCCGTCGGAAGGCACAGACACTCGAGTTCACAGTGGAGACCCCATACAAGACTCTGGTGAAGAAGGTGGCAATTCAGGAACGAGACACGGTCCTGGCCATGAATGCGCCCCTCTGTCTTCTGCCGCCCGAGTCATGGCTGTACTCACAATATCGCGAGCTCAAGAAGTTGACGACAACGAGGTTCCTCCCATGGGACCACTCGAATTTCAGGCCGAACGCTGGAGACGGATTAAGGTTCACCAAGAGGATGATGAGTATCTAGCAGAGATAAGGGCGTTCCTAAATGACGACCTGGATGGGTTCTCACCCACACGTCTGAAGAAGATCAGTAAGGTCGCAGATCTGTTCGTTCTGGATGACTGAGCAATATTGGACAGACTTCCACACTCTGTTCGCGGAAGACGAGACGCCGTGGACAATCTGAGACTGGTAGTCCCGAGTTCACTTCGGGAAGACATGTTGCACCATGCGCATGAAGATTTTCAAGGTGGACATCAAGAGATCACCCGGACTCATGAGAAGCTACGTACCGAACTCTACGGACCCGGCATGTACGCAGACGTCCAACATTTTGTGAAAGAATGCGTGGACTGTGCCAGTGGAAAAGAAGCTCCCCCGAATGCAGGACCTTCGCCAGGAAAAATCGAACCACGGTATCCTTTTGAGGCAGTCTCTATGAACTTCGTGACACACATGCCTGAGTCAGCCAAAGGGAACACGTTCCTCCTGTTGTTTCAGGACGTTTTCAGGTTACGTGATGTGTAAACCCATACCAGCTACTACCGCTCAAGATGTCGCTGAGGCTTATGAGGAGCAAGTGTTCCAGAGATTTGGGGCGTGTTCCATGATACGGCACGATCAGGACCCGCGTTTCATGAGTGAAGTGTTCATAAGGTTCCGAGAACTCTTAGGTAGCCGACAACGTGCTACACTCGGATACCGTCCACAAGCGAATGGACAACAGGAGAGATCTTTACAAACGGTCATTCGGAGTGTTCGGGCATATGTCGCCGAGATAGATCAGTCCGACTGGGATGATCATGCGGAGCGACTGATGTTCGCCCTGAATGTCTCATTCGACGTGACTAGATTGGATACCCCTTCTATTTGGTTCACGGTTGGGACGCCCGAAACACAGTTTCGGCAATGTTAGGACCAAAACCTTCGAGCGTTCCTGAGCGTAGCGCATATGAATGGCGACGGAAACAGCAGCGTGAATATAGCTACCCACTTGCTCGCGCTGAAGACCTACAGAAGGAGGCTCAGAAGATGAGCTCGAACGAACAAACTCGAAAGTGGTTGGAACTATCAGAGAGGGTCAAAGCTGGTTTGGAGAAGGGCGACTCTGTTTGGCTGTACGTCCCGAAAGTTCAGACTGGATTGAGCTGGAAGCTAGCACACATGTGACACGGGCCATTCAGGATCGATGAAATTCGGGATGACTTCCGTGTGAGACTGAAGGTGATAGATACATGTTATCATGTTAATCCTTGGGTACAGATTAGCCGACTCAAGCCGAGAGTTGTTTTCCCAAAGAGACCAACAGTTGAGGTTGACGTCGCAGATGATGATGATTTCGATGCTGTACTATTGCCTGAGGACGGTTGGGAGCCGGATAGCTCGAATGATGTGTTTGAAGTGGAATCAATTGAGGATGTACGATGGGTGAAACGCACCCGAACTGCGAGGCGATCTCGAGAATACCTCGTCAAATGGAAGGGGTATGATGGCCCAGAGTGGATTCCGGTGACATAGCTCAATTGTGGATCGCTATTGTATGAATTCAACAAAGGGACGCCGAGTACGAGCTCATTTTCAGGCGATGCAGGCTGGGGATGACCACTGAGAGTGTAGTCAACCCGAATGATATTACCCGAACGACATTAGACCGTGAAACTATGTGTACTGATTATATTTTTGTTTGATTCGTGATGAAGTATTGTGGAGACATTCAGGAGGCCGAATGTAGAATTTATTTGAAGACTAAGTGTGTTGAAATGGATACGAAAATGGTGTGAAAAGCATCAGATATGGTGCGATGGATAAGAAGGACGGTGAACGTTGAGGATGTGAATGATAGTTATATTCTGGATGTTAACGCTAATGCTCTGACATGCAACATGTAAAATGATTCTGGAGGAGTCAATTAGTCGAAATTCATGGTGACGCGGTTCTTCTACGGAGTATTCTTGCCCTGGGCGCCGTCACCCTGGTCGCCACTCTGATCCTTCTCCTCTTCATCTGAGTCAGCTTCAGGAAGTGTAGCAAAAGGTAAACCCTGAGCAAACGAGTCGTCCACTGCTGTGACTTCGATCAAAGTGCTCCACGATTTTTCAGGGGCGACACCATCATGGAAACGCTCCAATAGATTATGAAGCCGTCTCCAATTGTCGTTGACACGCGTTTGGTCGCGATTCAAGAAATTCATCAATTTGGCAACGTTGAGACGACGCGACCCAGAAGTCGAAGATTTTCCACTTGAGAGCGCAATTCCCCAACTTCCTCACGAAGGGCTCGCGTTTCCAACTCATGCTCCGCTCAGACCCCACGCAGGTCGCTCTGGCGATGAAGATGAGCTGTGTCCAACTGCTCTTGCAGACGTCGAGCTACGCCCCAGTAGAATTCGTGCAGAGTGGCGTAATCGACCCTCATCCTGGTGGTCTCACCCTGGGCATCCAGCATATTCTGGATGGTTGTGCTGGCATCCGAGCCCACCTGAGTGCATAACTGGCGAAACTTAGCCAACATACGCTCCAGGAAGGTTGTTGACGCGAACTGTAGTGGGCCCAGGGCTCACTAGTTAGCTTACACGTGTGCGAACGTGTAGGAGGAAGCGTAGGTTTTCCTAGGTTGTATAGTGTACACACGGTGCGTGTGTACAGTAAGAGAAGATAGAAATAAGATAGCGTAAAATGAGAACTGTTATTTTTGTTTAAGGATTAACCCCTCTAGCCCGGTATTCTGTATTCTACAGAATAAGCGTTTGGACAGGATTTAGTATGCAGCAAACTTTGCTGCGGTGGCTATCTTCGCATATGCGTATTTGTATGAGCGGGATTAGTGTCGGGATCATTGAGGATTGGCGATGGTAACATAGCCAGATATTCTTCCACCGTAATAGAAAGACGAATATAATCCACTGACAGATTTGAAAATCTAAATAAGAACCGGTGTTAGCTACAAAGTGGCGCAAGGTTATTACACAAAATGAACGGCCCTGGAGAGAAGACATTCAAACAACTCTGGCGCGAGCTAACGAAGGATGAATGTAAGGCACGAAAGCCCAAGGGACTTGCCAAAGACCACAACTACATCAAGCCAGGTGTAAAAGGCCGCCTGGACCCCTCAAAGCATGGAGTCGATTACTTTGTTGGTAAGTGTGTCTATAAAATCTTACACGTGGGTCAAACTGATTTTATTATTGTATGACAGGGGAAAGGGAGTTGATGGCGTTTACACGCCGTTCAGGGCGCCTTGGCCTTCCTACGCTGACGCCGGCGTGTAACGCGAGAGTCCCAACTGGCAAACAGGCCTCGTATGCAGCGATTGGACGCCAGCCGCCTTCCAGTCCGCCCCCCGTAAGCTCTTCGCCAGCCAGCCCACCAGCCCCTGTCTCTGAATTGAGTACCCCGCCTGTAGTAACCACCACGCCAGCAGCAGCTGTAGCACCGGTTGATACACAGGTAGACTCAGAAGGCTTTGTTGCTCATCCTCAGAAGACTTTGTTGCTCATGCTGAACCTGCCACCCGGGTCCATTCACTTGTGGTACCATCAGCACAAGCGAGTGGCGTTGTTCCGGAGGATACAGAACAAGGTGATGTTGCGTTGGGTGATGTTCCGGAGGATACAGAACAAGTGATTCGTTCTATTCAGGAGAATACAGAATATGGTGCTATGGTGGTCGATGCTATTCTGGAGGGCCCAGAATTGAGATGGCGTGTTGATTGCAGTGGCGAGGACGAAGCCAAGAGTGAAAGTGACGTCCACGAAAACGATGGGACTGGTGTTGACTTTGAAGTGTTTGATAGTGATCGATTCATGGAGGGGCTCAGAGCGGAAAAGCTGTTCGGACCAACCGCTGCTGATGATGTGAACTTAGTAGAAGAAGCAGACACCAGCGATTCAGACTCAGATGCTGATAATGAAGACATCATGGCCGACAATGATACATCACATGCTGCGGATGGAGTTGAAGATGTCATGGCCGTGGATACCGATGATGAAGACCCTAATATCGGAATCTTTGACATGACGGACGATGA